TATATAATTCTATTTTATAAGATAAGCTGGAAAAGGCCCATTTGTAGGAACAGAAAACAGGTCAATGAGTGTCAGGGGCTGTGGGTAGAGAGTGGTTGACCACAAAGGAGTACACAGGAATTTTGGAGGCTGATGAAAACGTTCTATATCTTGACTGCAGTGGTTGCTTCATGATCGGATGTGTTTGCCAGAAATCAGACAAGTGTAAACTAAAAAGGAATGAATTTTTTTGAATGTAAATTATACTTCAGTGAATCTGACTTTAAAAAAAAAAAAAAAAAACGAAGAGGGGAAAAGTGGGTCTTCCTCTACATCGCTGGGCCAATTGCTCAATTCTATTTTCCCTTCCCAGAAGACAATCACTCTTACTGGTTTGTAGATCCTTTCAGCTTCTCAGAAATATTCTAGATATATACAAGTATGTATGGATACATGTATATGCAATACATTTACATGTATATACATTTACGTGTGTGTATGTTTACGTGTATATACATTTACGTGTATATATATTTACATGTATATACATTTACGTGTATATACATTTACATATACAAATGTGTGTGTGTATACACACACACATGCACACATATGTAAAAATAGTTTTGGAAGCATATTATACACTGGTCTTTGCTTTGCACCTAACTGTAAATTTTGAATACCCTTCCACATCAGTATATAACAGCCTGTCTCATCCTTTTTTTTTCTTTTTTTAAAGCAGGCAGTTAATTTGGCTAAACTTGAATTGCAGAACTGCTCCGCGGGGGTGAGTGGCAGCTGAAGCCATCAGTTCACTTTGCCTAGTGTTAACCCTGTATTCAAGTGCCCAGCTCAGATGTAGGCAGAGCTCATACGTAGAATTTGGGGCTCCCCTTCCCTGGATCTTCCTTTTCCAGGATTCCCTACTCAACATCCAGAGGCTGTGTTTGTGTGTACCCTGTCCTCTGGTTCTTCTGCCAGGTATCCTAGCAGAGTTTTGGCCATCCTCCTTTGGCACAGATTTGCCCTGCCTTTGAAAACAGGACACTCAGCCTGTACTGTCCCTTTCTTCCAAGTGATGACAGCCCTCTAGCACCTGTCTGTTTTTTGATCATTCCCCAGTGTCTACAGGTAGTTTGATTTTGTGTGTGTGTGGGGGGGGTGTTTTTGCTTTTTGTTTTTTGCATTTTGTCCAGAGTTTATAGTTGTTATTTGTGCAGGACCCATCTGCAAGGAGTTACTCGGCCAAGACTGGGAGAGGAATTTTGCCTCACTCTTGAGCTACTACATTTCACCTTCCAGACAACCCTGCGAGAAAGGTAGTATTCTGCCCCCTGTCTGCAGAGCAATGGGTACCATGGACCCATTGGACCCCAGATCATTTGAGCATTTGGGAATGGACTGTATTTTGGTGTTTTGTTTTGTTTAAGATTTATTTATTTGAGAGAGAGAGAGAGAGGGTACGCGCCTGCAGGTGGCAGGGGAGGGGAGAGAGAGAGAGAGAGAGTCTCAAGCAGGCACCACGCCCAGCGCGGAGCCCGACTCAGGGCTCGATCTCACGACCCTGGATCCTAACCTGAGCCGAAATCAAGAGTTGGACCTTTAACCTACTGAGCCACCCAGGCGCCTTGTTTTGTTTTTTCTTTTCTCCTTTGTTCTGAAGTCAAACACTTTCAGTATGACCTTGGAAAGGTCGCTTCACCTCAGTTCTCATTTGTCTATCTGAATAATCATGATACTTTCCTCAAAAGGTGGTTCTGAAGGGCAGTGAGGTAGCACCACAGAGGCCAGTGTTTACGTGGTGCTTACTCAAGCAGGAGCTGCCCTCGGGTGCTTTATTCCTTGCAGCAGCCTAGGAATGAGGCACTATTATTCTCAGCTCCTTTGGACAGGGAGCAGACTGGGGCACAGCGAGCTTACGCCACTTGCTCAGTGCCCCTCACGGCAGTGTGTGGCGGAGCTGGGCTTGGCACAGAGGCTGTCTGGTGCCTGCCTCTGTGCACTCAGCCCTGTACACCCTAGGATGCGGTGCGTGTTTCATGCTGGCTATGCCTCAGAATCACCTGCACGACCTGCAAAGACCTGCTTGCTGAATCAGACTCTCCGGCCCCTGTGCTGGGTACAAGCTCCAGGCCTTGGTGCCCAAATATAGGCATTCCCTTCCCCTCCCTGTCTTCCTTTTCCTGACTCACTGGCTCTTTACCAAGTCATAGGACTAGATAATTAGGGTTACCTTTGACCCATTCCTGACAGAGCCATGTCACCAGCCTGCGCGACAGGTGGAACAGGTCCTAGGAGCTGCAGGAAGAGACGGCTGTCCCTGGGATTATCCTTCTCCTCCTGTCTGAAGCCACAACCCTGGTCAGGCGACTACTGGGAAAGATGCTGTGAGCCATGGCGGGTGTGTCATCCAACCTCTGTCTTTTAAATAAACCACATCTGACAACCCCATGTTATCCTGAGCCCCTTCAGGATACTAGAAACTCCCGGGATGTTTCGGAAAGTATAGTTCAGCTGTAACTTGGGCCGTAGGAACCCATGGTACCAACCATAGTCGAATTGCCCTGAACGTTCAAATAAGATGGCCCTGAGTTCTCATACCCCTCTAGGACATTCTTCTCTCAAATCAAAATTTGTTTAAATGGGTATTATGGTCTTACGTGATCTGGCCCCTGCTCATCTCTCTGACCTGAGCCCAGTCACTCCCCATCATGGTCCACACTCAAGCCACACCGGCCTTTCAACTGTGATGGCTCACACCTGAAGACTCTCACACTTGCCATTCATCCTACCTAGAACATTCTTCCCCTAGAACTTCACACGGCTAGCTCATTCTTATCATTCAAATGCCAACTCCAGTGTCACCTCCTCACAGAGGCCATCCGATGTAAATCCCCCTCCTCTGCCCTCCCCCATCACTCTCCGTCTTGCTAACCTTGTTTTATTTTCTTCATAACACTGGCAGGATATATACCCAGGATGCCTGGGTGGCTCAGTCGTCAAGTGTCTGTCTTCAGCTCAGGTCATGATCCCAGGGTCCTGGGATCGAGCCCCGCATTGGGCTTCCTGCTCAGCAAGGAGCCTGCTTCTCCCTTTCCCTCTCCCTCTGCCACTCCCTCTGCTTGTGCTCTCTCTCTCTCTGACAAATAAATAATAAAAATAAAAATAAAATAATTCCATTTGTATAAAAAAATACTTACGACATCCCATAGCTATCTCTCCTTTGCTTGTCTGGGTGCTTATTGTCTCTAACACTAGAATGGAAACTCCAGGATAGCAAAAGCTTTGCCTGCCATGGTCACTGCTGTGTCCTGAGTGCCAGGAGCCTACCAGAAACGGTGCCTAGAACACTCCATAAGTATCTAGGACATGAATGAGAGCCTTTGCCATCAGTGTTTTCTCTCATCCCCGCCCCACTCCTCCCAACCAGGGTCCTCCAGGAGCAAAGCCAGCAACCTGAAGGTAGAGTGTGCCCCCTGAGATGGGCACAGGTGTGACAGATGCCACCGGGAACACCTGACAGGGAGAGTAAGCTCACCAACCGGGTTCGAATCCTGGCTCTATCCCTGCCCACCATGACCCTGGCCTCACCTCTGGGCTGTGTGACCTCGGGCTCCTGGCTGTGAGCCTGTTTTCTTCCTGTGTAAAATCAGGCAAAGCATCAGACCTACCACAAAGGGTCATGGTAAGGTGAAATGAGATAGTTACACGTGAAGCACGTAGCCCAGTCTCTCAGACCCACAATCCTGGATGCAGAGCCGGGGAGGGGCACGCACAAAGCCTGAAAGGCGTCCCCATTTGTACTTCCTCAAGGGAGGTTGGGGGGGATGAGGGGACATTCAAGGCCACTGCCCTGCTTTAATCTACCCAGCTTGTTGCTGCTGGAGAAGCCAAGCAGAACCACTTATCAAGAGTCAGTTTTGGGCTCCCCAAATAATTACCAAGCACCTGCCAGGTGCCTTAGGAAAGACATGGAGGAGACAGATGATGAGGTCTGGGGACTTAATCTAGGAGCAGAGACAAGACAAAAACACAAGACCAAAGACAGTAGAGGTTAAGCGGAAGACAAAGGGAGGAGGGCCAGGGGATAGTCTGTTGGCAGCAGACCAGCTTTTCTCCTGGTACCTGAAGGGAGGGCACCCCTCCACGGGCCCCTCCGAAAGATGCCTCAGCAGTAAAATAGAGTCAGTGGTTAAGAGAATGCCCTTCCCATTCAGGCACACCCCTTTTTAAATTGTGTTTCCTCTGTGACCTCAAGCACATGACATCACCTCTCTGAACCTCATTCCTCATTTATGAAATAGGGATAATATTGGGACCTATTCACAGGGTTCTTGAGAGGAGTCCTAAAAGTCCTTGGCACAGGGTGGTAAATAGGAAATGTATAGCCACAGTTCTTGCTTTGTTGTTATGTTTATCCAAGATGGAAGTATCTCAACTTCAAAGAAACTTCTCCAGCAGTTGCTGCTTAAATTTCTTTTTTCTTTTTTTTTAATTTTTTAAAAGATTTTATTATTTGACAGAGGGAGAGAGAACACAATCGAGTGAGCATGAGCACAAGCGGGGGAGCCGTAGAGGGAGAGGGAAAAGCAGACTCCCCTCTGAGCAGGGAGCCCAATGCAGGGCTCCATCCCAGGACCCTGAGATCATGACCTGAGCCAAAGGCTTAACCCACGGAGCTACCCAGGTGTCCCTTAAATTTAGTTTCCAAACAACATTTACATGGTACTTCCGTGCCAGACTCTGTCTTAACAACCTTATAAGGAAGTACTATTTTTTGGTCTTTTTTTTTTATACATAACATAAAATTTACCACCTTAACCATTTTTAAGAGTACAGTTCAATAGTGTTAAGTATAATCACACCGTTATGCAACAGATCTCTAGAACATTTTTGTTCTTTTTTTGTTTTTGCAAAAATGAAACTCTGTACCCATTGAACATCATCTCCTCACTTCCCCTTCCCGTAACCCTTGGTTTCTGTTTCTAGGAAGGTACTGTTTTAACTCTGTTTCACAAGTCAAGAAACCAAGATCAGCTACATAGTTTGTGGGACTCGGGGCAAAATGAAAATGAAAATTATGAGGAATGGTCAAGATGATCACAGCAGAGCACTACATCAAACACAATCACACAGGACTCATGAAACAGGCCCTGGAGGAAACCAGGGGCCAGAGAAGGTAAGTTACTTTCCCAAAGTCACACAGCAAGTTTTGGAGTCTCTAAAATCCTTTACTTATCGTAAACTCCCTGCAGGCAGGGGTTTTGATTTGTTCACCGCAGAGTGGCCAGCAACCAGGATAGTGCCTGGTGCCCCTGGTCATTCATTACATAGTTCATATCTGGGGGAATGAATAAATCGGTCACATTCACCTGAGAGAGAAGGGCTTTGTCCAAGGATCTGTGCTCTGGCTCAAGAGCATTCCCATCCCTCTTCCTCCTTTGTGTTTACCTAGAGCCCTTGAATTTCTAGGAGAAGCAAGTGTGGCGTGTGTCTTTCTATATATAATGTCCCCTGGCATTTTTACGAGTCCTCTCCTCTTCAAAACATTCCTGGTTTCGAGTCCCACCTTTACCCATGGAGTGGAATTAGAAGTCACTGGATAGGGGCGCCTGGGTGGATCAGTCTGCTAAGTGTCTGCCTTAGGTTCAGGTTGTGATCCTGAGATCCTGGGATCGAGCCCTGAGGGTGCTGGGATCAAGCCCCAAGAGTCCTGGGATGGAGTCCCACATCGGGGCTTCTACTCTCTCCTCCCTGCTCATGCTTTCTCTCTCTATCTCTGTCGCTATCTCTGTCTCTCTCTCAAATAAATAAATAAAATCTTAAAAAAAAAAAAAAAAGAAGGGGCGCCTGGGTGGCTCAGTCCTTAAGCGTCTGCCTTTGGCTCAGTTCATGATCCCAGGGTCCTGGGATGGAGCCCTACATCGGGCTCCCTGCTCTGCAGGAAGCCTGCTTCTCCTTCTTCTACTCCCCCTGCTTGTGTTCCCTCTCTCGCTGTGTCTCTCTCTGTCAAATAAATAAATAAAAGCTTAAAAAAAAAAAAAGAAGTCACTGGATAAAGAGAGGTCACTGGTAGCATGTTCTGGCCTCAGGTCCCCAAAAGTCTGATGGCCAAGTCCCCTCCCTGATCTCAACACAAGAAAACTAGAACCAAATTGTAAAAGTATAAGCTAAACACGAGTTTTATTTACAGTTACAGCATTCAGTGCTGCAAAAGAGTTTAGGGAACTAGCCTGTATGTTTTGTTGCTCTGAAAGGGATTTCATTTTTTTCTGTCTGACCGTGAGAGTCTTTGCTGGCGGTGAAAAGAAAGTAGAGATGAAACCTCAGGGACATATCAATGGATTAATCATACTCCTGATCTCACAACCTCTTATTGTTCTGTACATGATTCCCTTTTAGTTTAAGTATTCTTTATTTGTCCATTTTCAGTACGCTAATGACTACATGTGAACCCACCCAAGAACTAGGTCACTGCTGATAACTCCTATCTCCTCTAGGCTCCTCACCTGTCTCATCCTTCCATCTCAGAGGTAACCAGGGTCCTGAATGTTGTGTCTCCCGATTGCCAGTTTTCAGGTGCGTTAACATTTGTATGCCTCGCTAAATGATGCATTGTTCGCTTTGAGTTGTTTTTGAAATTCATAGGAGGGGTATGTCAGCTTCTGAGACTTGCTTTCCTGACTCCAGAACAGCTAAAAAGATCGCATTGCCATGTCGTTACACCTACTGTTATATTATTTATTTTCACTATCGCATGATACTCCACCGTCTGGATAGACCATCATGTATTCACTCATTCCCCTCTCAAGGGCATTCGGGTTGTTTCAGCTTTTGCTCCTGAGAAGAGAGCTCCCGTGAAATTCTCATGCAAGTACATGAGTTAAATTTTGCCTTGGGTATATATAACCAGGAGTGCAATGACTGATTCATAGGGTATAGGAATGCTCAAATTTGCAAGAGGATGCCAGATCGTTTTCCAAAATTACTGTTGCAAACCCCCCAGTGATCATAGGGATCCCATTGATCCCCATCTCCTATATATGGTATTGTCAAAATTTTTGATTTTGCCAGTTGAATGACTATTGGATGAATGAATGACTCAATAATGGGGAAACTAGATTGTTCACAAAAAATCAGTTCATATGATCAATCAGTGACCTTTAGCTTTAAACAAATTAAATGTGCTTTAAAATGTTGCCAAGGGGTGCCTGGGTGGCTCAGTCGGTTAAGCTGCTGACTCTTGATTTCAGTTCAGGTCATGATCTCAAGGTCCTGGGATCAAGCCCCCAAGTGGGGCTCCCTGCTCAGTGGGGAGTCTGTTTCAGGATTCTCTCTCTCCCTCTATCCCTCCCCCTGTTTGTTCATGCCCCTCTCTCAGATAAAAAAATAAATCTTAAAAAAAATAAAAATAGAGGCACCTGGGTGGCTCAGTCGTTAAGTGTCTGCCTTCGGCTCAGTCATGCAGATGGAGCCCCGCCATCCCGCTCCCTGCTCAGCGGGAAGCCTGCTTCTCCCTCTCCCACTCCCCCTGCTTGTGTTCCCTATCTCCCTGTGTCTCTCTCTGTCAAATAAATAAATAAAATCTTTTAAAATAAATAAATAAATAAAAATAAAATGTTGCCAAGAAGAGAAAATGAAACATTTCAAGTAAAATGACGCAAAAATCTTATAAAAACTAAAATCATTCAATCTGTTATAAATTGCCATAAAATATAAATAATTAAAAAACAAAAGATAGAAACTCCTTTTATAAGACACTTGTATAATTTGCATCAAACCATAAATACATATTTTATGCTTTTTTTCCTTTAACAATATATTTCACAATTTAAAAGGGGATAAAATGGTCTTCGCTTTATATTATATCCTATACACAAACAAATTCAAATAGATTACAGATTTTAATTTAAAATCATGATGCCCATACATAAGCTGGAGGGAAACTTAAGCAAATAAAAATCTAAGGTGGGTGCTGAGTGGCTAGGAACTACTTTTTACAACATACAAATAAAGGTAAAAACCATGAGGAAAAAAGATTGATGGACTTTATTACATAAAAATGCAAAACTTTTTGTAGGTTTCAGTGTTAAATAAAGAAAATATAAAGGCAATCAACCATCTGGGGGAGATACATCAGTGATATAAAGGATCTATCTATCTTTTGTGAATTTGGGCTGAGAACGCGGAGGCCAGACTCAGAATCTGGAGACGTGCCTGCTGTTAGGGCACTTGGTGGGATTAGATTATAAGAGTATATAGCAGCCTGGTAAATCTCATGTTAACCTCCAGAGCCTGGATAGTAACACAGGGCACTAGTAACCAGTGCCCTGTAGGGGACTGGCAGACTTTCTTGGGTCTCCCAATTCTGTTCTCTGAAACTGAAATGTCTGCATACTAAAATAAGGTAGGGGATCTACTAGATGTATGTGTTTGGTGGGGATGTGAGGGTACAATGAGTTTGAGAGTGACAAAGTTTAAAATTCTAGGAGGTGGGAGCTCCAGAGTTGCTACATACAAAAAGTTTGGAAAGGTAGATACAGTACAAAAGGCTTTTCCAGGGCTTACACGAATATCGGGGTGGGGGTGAGGGGAGAAATGGCAGGGAGAGCAGCTCCATATTACCAACGGAAGTTTACAAAATTGAGATTTGTTAAGGAATTTCACGAAATGAACCAAATGTAACATTGTGTCAATTAGGAAAGCAACTGAATTAAATCCCATCACAAGCACATTTTATGCGGGTTGTGGGTGAATTTTGACCTGTTCAATGTGATATGGAGTGAGGCCTCCAAAAGCATTGTAAAGGGCTCTTGGCTGAGGAGAACCATTGGACCAAATCATAACACTGACTGTATTCTTTCCAAGGAGACATACTCATCTCCGGCAGGATTCTAATCCACTCTATCCTGAAGATGTGGCCTCCTTTGAGTCCCATCAGGTTGATTAAATTAGCACTGAATTAAGTGTGAAGGGATAGGCCAAAAACCAGTGAAAGAATATAGATTTACCACTTTAGAGGTGTGAATACCAATACAATACCTCATTTTCCTGTCCACCTTTTCTTTCGTTAGATGTAATTTTCCCCCTTTGGTTCATACAGGTTTTTCAAGAAAAGCAGCCGTTCTGAAGCGGACCCAAGAGTGAGAAAATTTTGGTCAGTTACCAAAGATAAAGGTGGGAGATATTTGTTATATGTGAAAAGCACTGATGCTAATGATGTGGTTGAGTTAAATCGTATTTGTGTCTCTAGGGCTGCCCTTGATTTGCCAAAATCTTACTGCCATGGTATTTCTATAGATCACACAAAAATGTATTTATTCAACACATTTATTGAGTGCTTACTATGCCCAGGCTGGGGTTCTAAGAGCTGGGTATATGGCATGACTAAAAGAGAAAAATCCCTGTTCTCAGCTGTGGGGGGAAACAAAAATTAAAAAAGTAAATATATACCATGTCAAATAGTAACAAATGCTTGGAAGAAAATAAAAAAGAGGAAGAGATAGAATGATGGCCATCCTGTTTGGATAAAGTCGCCCTAGGAAGACGTTCCTGACAAGATGATGATCTATTTAAACCACCTTCTGCAAGGATTGGGTATATGTATTTAGGAAGCCCCTGGCAAACTGCCCCATCATGGCTGTGTGATCTTGTTGTCAGTGACTAACTTCTCTGAGCCCAAGCCAGTAAAAATCCAGAGAGGATGAGGAAAATGCACTGTAAATTACAGTGATTATTACACTTTATGAATGCAATTTTGTATAGTATGAATTTCATGGATGTTATAATAACTTCCCCATGCCCCAAGGAAAAAATAAGCTCCAATCCACTGGGGGGCGGGGGGGTCTTGGCACAGTTCCCTTCGTTTACAATTAGGAATGGGATTTCGGACCCCGCTACAAAGCAGGCATTCCCCTGATTCTGCGAATTCAGAAAGTTCTCGATTGCTAGCTTCCGTTGCCTCATCTATAAATCCGAGATAATGGTCGTGCTGACCACTTAGGGTTTTGTTTTTTGTGGGGTTTTTTGATGTTAAAAAGACATTTATTGAGCTACATGTGAGACACATTGAACCATATGCCAGGCATAGTCCTAAACAATGGAAAAATATTCATTCATTTAATCCATAACAACCCCGTAGACCGAGTACAATTTTAAACTGCACTTTACAGCCAAGGAAACTGAGGCACGGAGGAGTTAAATCTTGACCCCCGCAGCTAGGGTTCCAACCACGACCACTGGGCTCCAGAGACTGGCAGTGCTACAAAGGGCTCAGCCCCGTGCCTAGCACATAGTGAGGACTCAATAAATCTTTATAGCGGTGGTTTTGTCAGTTCTCGCCAGGGGGCTGCTCCAGAACTTCCACTTAGGAAGAGCTGGAGGTAGCCGGTTTGTTGGAAGAGGAGGCTAGGGGGAGCTTGCATAGCAACCATAGTTCACTGCATAGCAACTATAATGTTTACTTGAACTGCGGGAGTTGGTGGGGATTGCGGAGAAGGGGAGTTAGCCGGCCACCCCTAGGCACCCCACTTTGCCGCGGAGACTAACAAGCACCGCAGCAGCTGAAATCCGAGCTCCCCCCCACCCCTCTCCGGAGCCGCCGGGTGAGCCGGCCTTCTGTGCAGCGCCCCCTCCCTCTTGAGACAGATGGTTCCTTCCGTTCTCCGGGCTGGTTCAGGTTCCGCGCTCCGAGTCACAAAGCGCGGGGTCACGTGGGCGGGCCGGTGCGCTTTGTGACGCCGCGGGCCCCGCCTCCCGGCCCGCCTATCCGCGCACGCCAGGCCCGCCTATCCGCGCACGCCAGCCCCGCCTCGCGCGCGCCGCCCGTGCAATCCCTGCTTAAGAGACCCCGGAGTGGGGCGCTCGCCCGAAGCCAGGCCGCGTCCGCCATAGTGCCTGGCTTGGAGGTGTCGCCGGCGCTGGGTGAGGGCCGGAGAGCGGCAGGGGGGCAAAACAAAAAGAGAGCCCCGAAGCCCTTGCCGTTGCCCGGCGGTTTCCGGGCCTCCTCTCGCGGTTCGGGGCCGAAAGGCGACGGGAGCGAAAGGCGAGAGAAGCGCGGAGCACACGGCGAGAGGAAGCGTCGGGGAGCCTCGGCGGCGTCCCCAGGGTCCGCCAAAGCCACCCGGCCGCTGGCTGGGGCCCGGGGTGGTGAGGAAGTGCTTCGAGGCCTAGTTGAGGCCTAGTACCGGCTTTGTGTCTGAGGCGGCGGCGGCGGCGGCGGCGGCGGGGGGGAGGCGGAGCCGGGGGCGGCCTGCGGGAAGGCCTCTCCTCCGCCGACCGCGCGTTTTTGGCCTAGGCCGCGGGCCGCTCGTGGCCTCCGGGGAGCAGGCGACAGGGGTTTGTGTGTGGGGGGGCCTGGGCCTGGGGAAGCTGACGCCGGTCGTCCGGAAGCCAGGAGGAGGCGAGAGGCCGCTCGTGGACTCCGGGCCTAGGCCCTCTCCCCCAACCTTCTCCCGGGGCCTGGGTCACCCCAATCCACGGAAAGAGAGACCAACCGGGAGGTGCGGCCGCGCTATGGACCCCTGACCCCGCGGGGTCATTCGGACTCTAACGTGTGGACTGACCGCTACTGACTGCACCGCCTGCCCCCCGTCTCCTGCCGGCCCTTAGCATGAGCGAGGGGGACCCAGCCGGGTGACATTGTGCCCGTTGGCGGATTCTCGATTTCCCCTTTCCCCGTCCTCGTCCGCTTCCTCCCGTATGAAGTGCTTCTGAGTATCGGGGGGGACGGGGGGGGTTCTGGATTATTGTTTTTACGAACCCCTGCTTGTGGTTGGGGGGGTATTTAATCTGAGGCCTTAGGGTCCTTCGGTGTCTTTTGAGTGTTTTGTGTGTGTACATATTTTGCTCTTGAGTTTATAAATATACATATATTGAGAGTGTCCACGTCTCCTCGCTGAACCTTAGGAATCCTTTGGCACCATGTCCTGTGTGCATTATAAATTTTCCTCTAAACTCAACTATGATACCGTCACCTTTGATGGGCTCCACATCTCCCTCTGCGATTTAAAGAAGCAGATTATGGGGAGAGAAAAGTTGAAAGCTGCCGACTGCGACCTGCAGATCACCAACGCGCAGACGAAAGAAGGTAAGGGCCACCTGGGCTCCAGATATTTGCTGGTTGGAGATGGATACTAGTTGTGCTAGATACTGGTTGCCTGGCAGAAGGCTGACCGCCATTACGTCTCTTGTGGGACTGTTCATTCTAATACTTCTGATACAACTTTTATTGAGACCCCAGGGTTGCAGCGGTCGGCCTGGGAGCTTAACTGGTTTATTTGATGTCTGCGTACGTGGGATCATCGGTAACAGGCTAATCTGAAAACGTGCAAGTCTGATTATTCTTCTCAAATGTTAATTAAAATGAAGATTTCAGTGGGAGACGGTGAGGGGTGTTATCCAGGTTCTTGGTGTTCTTGCCTTGTGGCGTTTTCGAGCTTGTTTTTTATCAGAAGGCGGGGAGGAGAGCGTATGGAGGCTTCTTAGGTGTTAAAGCAGCAGTAGAGATCCCTCTCTTAACTTTCTAACCTGACAACGGTGTGCGGTTCATTGGCAGGTTTTATGTACTCCTTTTCTTCCTGTCCTTGTGTACTTATTTTTATTTTGGAGTTGCCTGTGTTTTGGAGAAGGGATCCTCACTTAAGTATTTCTTAAGGATTTAATCCAGCCCGTCTTTAATGTTGGAATTGCTTTTGGAACCTGATGTGTTCTGATGTCACCACTTTTGTGCGTAAATTCCAGAATTAGTAATAAAGTAATTAAGTGGTTGAGTTTTCAGTTCATCATATTACTCTTAAAATTTAGTAGCAATTTAGTAAAGATCACAAGTAAAGGCTTTTCTTTTAAAGTAGTAATTGCTAGACTTTACATGATTATGTTGTTAACTAGGATACTGAGAAGAGTAGGCTGCTACCACATGAGTTTGAAAGATGCCACTGATAGGAATCTTTAAGTTCTTTCTCCTTTTTAAAAGCATTTTATAATGTTGAAAATTTAACGTTCGATGTGACAGTGTGATAAACAGTTTCTTCAGATTCTGGTTCTGCACTTGTTTTGGTTTCTTTTTCTCGGTGTTGTAATGCTGATGTGTAGTTTTCAGTAGGTCAGTCTGGGATGAGAAGACATTAAGAAGTTCTCATTAGCTTAGGGTATTTTATCGATCACTTAAATTTGGCTTAAGGTGTGACTTGGGTTCTTTAGTTGAAATTGGGGGAGTCCCTCACTTGTAGCCTATTTGGGGTTTGGGGTTTTGTGGGGGTTTTTTGGGTTTTTTTTTTAAGATTTTATTTTTAAGTAATCTCTACACCCAACGTGGGGCTTGAACTCACAACCTCAAGACCAAGAGCCGCAAGCTCTACCAACTGAGCCAGCCAGCGCCCTTAGTCTGTAGTTTTTAATAGAGTAAATCTTGTCATGTAAAAGAGCTGTTTCCCATTTACATCCAGATATAAGTATAATTGTATTATGTTAAGGAATGGCACTACTGGCATGACTCAAAAATATTCATTAAGAAAGAACTTTACTCACATGGTAACATGGGAAAGAATATTCTCTGCTGCCCCCACCGCCTTTTAAAATGTTATACCTAAGGGATACCTCACGTGAAGCTTTGGTGATTGTAATTATGTGTAGAATACTTACAGAAAGGAAAAATTGCTGGTCATCTTGAACAGTTGAAAACAGCTTTTTAAACTAGCATTCAAAAAAATACCTTAGGGGCGCCTGGGTGGCTCAGATCGTTAAGCGTCTGCCTTCGGCTCAGGTCATGATCCTAGGGTCCTGGGATCGAGTCCCGCATCGGGCTCCCTGCTAGGTGGGGAGACTGCTTCTCCCTCTGCCTCTGCCTCTTTCTCTCTCTCTGTGACTCTCATGAATGAATAAATAAATAAAACATTAAAAAAAAAAATACCTTAAAGGAAATACTCTTGTCTTTAAGGCCGCCAAAAGTGTCCCTTAAGTATTGCAGCCACACTTCACAGGACAGATGGGTTTATAAGAATTTCAGGACATAATGATATGTTAATGATACTTAACAAATGAGAGGAAGAAAATACAAATGAAAGTAAAGAATATTAAGACAATTTTAGTCCTATAACCAGGCAGGTTTTACATTTTACTGGAGTATTAAATGATTTTATCATAGACTTTGTGCATTTTCTCCACCTAATAATTGAATACAGTTTTGTTAGATTGGAGTAAGTTACAGTTGGTGGAATTCTTGTCCAAAAATCTAAGAGTTTTGTGACATTGTGTTATTTTTTTTCTTTTAAAGATTTTATTTATTTATTTGACAGAGAAATAGGGAGAGCAGGAACACAAGCAGGGGGAATGGGAGAGGGAGAAGCAGGCTTCTTGCCGAGCAGGGAGCCCGATGCAGGACTCGATGCCAGGACCCTGGGATCATGACCTGAGCCGA